TATGAGAATGGTCTAATGGTTTATATCACATTTTCGCCTCTTTTATGTGCATGTGTGTTTTTGTATGTTTATGTTTGCTATACCTATAAGAAATGTGTGTGTATATACGTCGTTGGTATGTGTGTGTGTGTGTGTGTGTGTGTGTGTGTGTGTGTGTGCAGTATTTTTGTGCACGTGTGTTTACATGTGCCCTATCATTACAGAGATTCTAATACAAAAAAAATGTGCAACCATCCTTTCAGATATACAGTACATTTCTTCGTATAGTGAACCTACAGTAATAACAAAAATATTCTTTCTTCCGTTTTCTTTGGTTTTCGTGCTCTTTCTTCCGTTTACTTTGATCCTTGTATATTAATGATGCAATAAAAATGATAATGATATTAACAACAAGACAACAATAATGATAATGATATTAGCAACAAAACAACAATAATGATAATGATGGCAATAATAATAATAATAATAATAATAATAATAATAATTATAATAATAATAAGTGGTAATGATAATAATGATGTTAACAATAATAACGATGGCCATATTAATAACAATAGTAAAAGAAACAAACAAAGCCCCCCCCCCCCATCTCTACCTTTTCCCTTTCCCCTCACATCCCCCTCTTTCCTTCTGTCACAAATTCGATAATAATCACCCTTATTCTCTCTCCTCTCTATCTCCTTTCCACATCTCCCCTTTTCTCCCACTTCGCATCGAATTTCTAGCGCCTCTTTGTATTTAGTGATCTGTTAAATGAACTTCCTATCGAGATTTATATCTTTCCTCGGACTGAGATTAACTTTTTAGAATGATAACCTCGATGAGCGGTGGGGAGGGGGTCAGGGGGTAGGGGAATGAGGGAGGGGGGGGAGGGGGGGAGAGTGAGTCGGTTCTGTTTGTTTTATACTTGTCTATTAATCTTGTTTTTTTGACGTTTTTTCTTTGTCGTCTTTGTGTTTTGTGTGATCTGTTATATTGTTTGTTGTGTTTGTTTTGTGTGCTGTGTTTGTTTGTTTAGTTTGCTGTTTGTTTTAATTGTCGTCTTCGTTTTGTCTAGTTTGTGTTGTTTGTTTTGTTTAGCTCTGTTATTTTTATGAACCCTAATTCGCGTCTCTTAATGCTATGATAATGACCATCATTGGTATCATTATCCATACCATTATCAACATGATTATCATCATAATTCTCAGCATTAATATCATCTTCACTAACACTGCAAAGATAATAATGACGTTTGTCCCTTTAATACTGAAGGTCCTATGAGAGAAACAGATAAACAGACACATAAAAGATAATAAAGACAATTATTATAACAGTAGATAATAGAAATGATGACAAACGACTGAGGTAAGACAATATCCTGATCTTGAAACAACTGTTCATTTTAAGCAACACTTTTTATCTTTCTTTCTTTCTTTCCTTCTTTCTTTCTTTCTGTCTTCCTTTTTTTTTTTTTTTTTTTTTTTTTGCTTTTGTTTTCAGTGTGATATCAATTACTTCGATTGATTTGTTAATAAAGCAAGGTAAGGATTTTTCAAAAGATGTGGGTAAAGGTTGATGAATGCTAAGCAAGTTGCAATGACCGTTATCTCAATAGAGATTGAATAGATATTTTTTTGTCTGTTTACGGTATAGTGCATGGCCTTCGGGTGATAAAAAGGTGATTGTTGATTTTCGTGTATTATCGTGCAAGGCGAAGCGTGTGTGTGTATGTGTGTGTGTGTGTGTGTTTTGTGTGTTTTTTGTGTGTTTTTTGTGTGTTGTGTGTGTATGCGTTGTGTTTTTGTTTTTTTTTTGTGTGTGTGTGTGTGTGTTTGTGTGCGTGTTCGATTTCATGTACCTCTTGTTAATAATGTTAATAGTTACACCATACGCGAGTGTGTCTGTGAATACTCATAGATATTTCCTTAACAATTGTTTGAAATAAATCAGATTTTAACCAGTATACCACGTACTAGAGAGATAGAAAACAAAATATATCTTAACATCATCTGTATTTCCGTCAGCGCTCGCCAACGCCCGCACGTGACGTCAGAAAAACCACCCTTGTTACCATGCGGGTCTCTCTCTGACCCCCCCTCCCCTCCCTCCCCTCCCCTCCCCTCCCCTCCCTCCCTCCTTTTTATTTCCCTTTCCCTGCCCCCCCCCCTCCGCTCTTCCCCTCCCTTCCTATCTGTTCCCTTTCCCTGCCCTCCCCTCCCTCCCTCTCTTTCTATCAACTCCCCTTTCCTTGTCCACCCCTCCCTTCCCTTCCTCCTCCCTTCCTATCCACCTCCCTTTCCCTTCCTACCCCATCCTTCCCCACCCTCTTTCCCACCTCTTTCCTTCACCCTTCCCTATCCTCCCCACCCATCTCCTTCCCTCCTTTCCCCTCCGCTTCCCTCCTTTCCCTCCTTTCCCTCCCCCTCCTTCCCTCCTTTTCTCTCCCCTTCCCTCCTTCCCCTCCTCCCCTCCCTTCTCCCCTCCTCTCCTCGCACCCATAATACGGCGTGGTACAGAATGCGATTTATTTTAAAAAGTGAAAAAAAAGCCTCAGGGGGCGTGGTGAACGTATCCAGGGCGGAGGTGTTGGTAACAGGGGGGGAGGGGGGGGGGTGACTGGGGGATATACGGCTTGGAGGGGGGGGTGACTGGGGGGATTTGTGGTTTGGAGGAGGGGGGGTTCCGTTGATTTAATGTTCGGAATCCAAAGTTTTTTTTCTTTCTTTCTTTTTATCTTTCTTTCTTTCTCTTTTCGCTTTGTCCAGAATGGGGCATTGGAGTGCCACACGTGATAATACATTCATACATATTTGTACAAAAGCATACCGTGTTTGTCGACGATCGTTTTATAGAATAAGACCATTTTATGACCATTTCCGAAAGATAATAGAGAGAAAATCCAAGGCTCTCCGGTACAGTAAATAAAACGGGAAAAGGAGCAATTAAAAAAGAAAAAGAAAAGAGAAAGAAACTCGGAATTGTAATGTAAAAAATAGAAGACAGACCAAGACCTAAATCTAGCGGCAAACACAATATATCATAGCATATCGACAAGTAATCAGCTCAAATCATACAACTAAACCTAATATACTTATTAAAAGACAGAGAATAAGGCATCAGCTGGTACGAGAAGCTTTCCACAATTCAAAAAACCCGCGCGGAAACAGGGAAAACAAAATAGCCTCGTTGTCCAATTAAAGAAATGAGACAACACTTTCCGGATCGGGTGTGACTCCATTAAGAGCCGCGATGATGGAATTGGAACCAATTTTGGAAAGTGTCTTCTCACTTATTCTTTTTTTTTTTCCTAATAAACAAGCGTGATTATGTTGTCGTTGTTCGTTCACATCGAATTGTGCTTTCACCCTTCAGGAGTCCAGTTCGGTAGTGGGGGGCTAGGGAGGGGAAGAGAGGGGAGGGGGAAGGAAAGGAGGGAAGGGAAAGGAGAGGGGGGGAGGAGGAAGGAGAAAGGAGTGGGAGGGGGAAGGAAAGGAGGGAAGGAAAAAGGAGAGAGGAGAGGGAGGGGGAAGGAGGGATGGAGATAGGGAGGGGAGGGAAGAGAGGAAGGAGAAAGGAGAGGGGAGGGGAAGATAGGGAAGGGGAGATGAAAGGAGGGAGGGAAGGGAAGATGAAAGGAGAGCGGGGAGGAGCAAGGAGAAAGGAGGGGAAGGGGAGACAAAAGGAAGGGAGGGGAGAGGGAAAAGATGAAATAGGAAGTGAACACTCTTATTAGAAACCAAACCGCAGCTTAGATCCAGACACAAAGGAGAATCGAAAAAAAAGGAAAAGGAAAATAAAACAGAGAAAAAAGGCTTCAGCGAACAAACACATCACGACAACAATAGCGACGCTAAACCAAACAAGGCCGTTTTAACTGGCCCAGTTGTGTTTGAGGAAGCAGAGTAGTAAACACAAACAAAAGACAAATCGAGACAATAGAAAGCAAGAAATGAAAGACATGATAACCCGATGGAAAAGTCAACACGAGAAATCTTGAAGACTCGACGTGAACCACAAGACAATTTCGCGTCTTGAACCAAAATAAAGCCAGATGAACACGAATGAATAAATGAACAAATGAACGCGGATGTGCGCCGTCAAGAGAGAAATGTCAAAACCACTGAACCATTTATTTATAAGTTTGTGAATGCTGACAAACCATTCCTTAAATTCGTTATTCATTTTTGTTTCTTTGAACCATTTTAAACTTCAAATTATAAATATCTTGATTTCTTTTCAATTCTATAATTATAATAAAACCTAATCTTATCATATAATTTATCTAAAAAAAACAGCTGCATTAAACCTTAACAAATGTTTATCTCTCTTACGTATATCATTGCTATAGACAATTGATATTCAAAGAAAACTAAGGTATCATACCCTGGCGCATTTGTCTTATTTACCTGTAACAAGGAAGTGTATATTCACTAATAAATATTAATTGTTCATATGAATAAACTATTGCAGATTCTGACGCCCTTTTCACAATATAAACACACCGGACCAGCTCGGAAAAATGTATTATACAATTCATTCACTAATAGACATCACTGGAATGTGTAACACTACTGCAGTTCAAGACAATGGACCATTTTATTTGACAATAGAAACGAAAGTAGTGGTTCACTTATTGGTAATAACTTCCTGTATTCAGTAGATATCAGTGCAGCTGCGTGAAATACTTCCGCTTTTGAAAATGTAAGGAGTAAAGGAAAGTCCCTTATTTACTAAATTATAAAAAAAAAAATCCTTTTTTTACATTCCACACATGTGTCTTGTGCCCGATTCATACGGTTTCAGTCGCGTTTTCTCCGTGTGTCTACGATGTATTAGAGGTTGGTCATTTTTTTCTATACAGACGTCCGCGGTGGACAGCGAAAAAAAGATGTATAGCCGTCTATGACCCTTATAAAATGCACCTAATTTTCACATGTCCGGCTTCGTGGTGTCAGACATATCCCGTAAGTAAGCGTCTTCACACGTGTCGACCACAACAAAACATTTACGGTCGCTAA